AATAAAAATATATATCACCACTTCGTGCACGGAGTGGAATCACTCCATACACTGAGTGTTATCACTTTGTGCAAAAGGAGAAGTAAAAAGGAGAGAACTTTTGAAAGCATAGATTCTCTTCGTGGATGGAGAGATTCTCTCCGTTCACGAAGAATTTTTTTTTTGAATTTAAATTTTTTATATTTTAATTAATTAAATGATATTTATGCATTATTTATTTAATTTTTGTAACTTTATTTTTTTATCTTATTTGTTTAATTTGGTTTGATGAAATAATTTTTTATACATTCCTTATGATATAAAGACATTCGTTAAATTTGAATTAAATAATATTTATTTTTTCTTTAAATCGTTTTAATTTAATTTAAAAATTTTATAATAATTTTTTCTATTTTTATTTGCAATTTTTTTAAGTAATCTTTATATTTAATTTCGTTTCTTTATTAAATAATATATGGTATTGCCTTTAATCAAATGAAGTAGTGTGTAAAAATGGAGAAATATTGTAGTGGAGATGACATCATAGTGAAACGACGTGTGAAAATAATGCTACAGGGTCATTGAATAAAATAATTTACTGTTGCCAAACTGGTTTCAAACCAGTTTCGTGTGAAAATCTATGTGACAAAAATGAACAGTGAATCTCTTGGAGTCAATGACATTCGACTATAATGCGTGACCAAATGAGAGGATTGTTTATATATAGGAAAATAATTGTTTCGGTATTCACTTACTTTTAGCATCTTCAAACTCGTTCTTAAATTTATAATACTAAAATTTCAAGTGAACAGAATGTATTATATAGTTCTTAAAAAGTTACATACTATCCAATCTTGACTTCTTCCTCTCTCTCCTTAGGCTTGTTTCCCCCTCTTAGTTCGGCCCAAGCTGTTTCTTCCTCTCAAAATTCCCACACCTGTTACTTCCAAGAGTTAAAAGTTTAGAAACTTTAATGTTTGAATTTAAAATTTGGTTTTATTACAAAATAGTGAATTCTTAACACTGTATGTGATGAAAGATTGTGAAAATGTTGCTCTTTTGCAACTTTTTTATACCACAAGTGGGACTGTTTGAATAGAGCTATCATATAACACTAAATCATTTTTTTTTTTTTTTTTTTCACATACTTCAATATATCA